AAAAAAAAAAAAAAAAAAAAAAAAAAAAAAAAAAAAAAAAAAAAAAAAAAAAAAAAAAAAAAAAAAAAAATCTAGCAACCACCTACGATGTCGACCTCCAGCTACAACCCTAATGACTACATTGACAACGACCTGTTTATCAACTGTTATAGCGTTTTAAATACAATATTTAACTTAATTAGTTCATATTAATAGTGGTTTTCTTATAGTACTTTAATATTAATAGAAACATTTAAGATATTGAACAAATCAAATAAATTTGCGACTTAAAATAATTTTGAAAAAAATGTAACTAAACCTAATAATGTTTTAGTTAATTTATATAAATATTTATGAATGAAAAATATTTGGATAAAACGAATGAACATTATTGAAGACAGAACATACAAGATCAATAAACGCGTAAAAAAATGAAAAAGGCTTTTTTCAATATTTTATAAGTATGGTAATTCTCATTTTTCAAGATTCTTTGAAGTCTAAGGTGTTGTAGACCCCAGAAGGAATTAGATGCCTACTCATATAGACCTCTATTTTTTATTTAAAAAAATAAAGGGTTAAACATGCATTAATAAACTTTCAAATATATCAGTTTAGTTCAAATTTGGTAAAAAATTATCTAAAAGATTTGGGTTTTATTAATCTTTAAACTCTGTGTTTAACAAGTTTTTAAATTATCACTCATGAATTTGGTATTTTTTAAATTTGGGTCTAAAAAATTTATGTTTTATAGGTTTTTAAACCAAACTATCTATCTAATATAGAACCTAAAACTTAGTTTTTAAGTTTTAAAGTTCATGGAGATAAGAGGTTATTGATAGATACCTCTATAAGATAAGAGGTTATTGATAGATACCTCTATAGATGCCTATCCATATAATAAACAAATAGATAAAAGATGGGCTGTGTGGGAAGAGTTCTCCCTAATTGAAAGGTATCTATGAAAAACCTCTTCATTTGCACATCCATCCAACCTTATCAACTTCTTTTATATTTTCTCTCTTCATTCTTGATGCCAATGCTCGCAATAATCGCCTTTTTACCAAACTTTTCCTCCAAGAATCTTTACTTTGCTTTACTTCCCTTCATGAAAGAGTTTACAAATATGAGAGAGACAACATCCACATTTGTTCTTACAAGAGAGAAAAGGAGAGTTCAATCTTGTTAATTAACTTGTTGCATGCTCCCATGGCTTCTTGTAGCTTTCCTGATGTCTATTCCTGGATACAGACCCTTCCACCCCTTTCTCAATGGAAAACTTCTTCCATTTCTACATCCATATGCACTTCAACCTCAAACAGCTCCTCGCTCAAAATTGTTGCTGCCAAAAACCTTCATTCCCCAACCATTACTCTCTCAATTATTGCAGATTTCAGCTTTCCAATCTCCCTGTGGACCTCAAAACCCTTGAAGACCAGCACCAATTCCTCAAATTTATTCGATGAAGAAACCATGTCCACTCTCTTGCTTAATTGTGTTCATGATGTTCTTTACTATGGCTCAAACCAAAGAAAGAATTCTAGCCATTACTCTCTCAAACTCGATATCACTTCCAGCTCAAAAGACATCTTCAATCTCGCATTTCTTACTCTCATATTCCTAATCTGCATCTATGAAGCTCCCACCGATCTCCGTTCAAATTGTCTTATGACTCTCAAGCATCATTTGGCAAATTCTACGTCGAGGCAGATATCCAAGGTGCTTATGAAACTGTTGGGGTCGAATCTAGAAGAGCAATGGATGAGGTCGATGAACCTTGCAATCACCAACTGGGTATTGGAGCTCAAGGCCAACGGCCGTACTTTAAAAACACCCTCACCTTTGTACTCTTATTCATTTTCAACGCATGGGCTGTGGAAAGTTCAACTCTATTGCCCCATCATTGCAATGGATAACATCGAGAACTCCAGCAATCCTTCAACAGATGAAAGATTGCAATTTTCTTTAAATTATCACCAGCTTGAAGGGGTTCTGCAGTTCAATTACCAGCTTGTGGTTCGAGATAAGTGGATTGATATGAGGGTACACGTTGATAACATAAGGTACGTTGAGTTTTGAAGCTATTACTTTCTTACTGCTAAGAACTAATCTCTTCTCTCTCTCACTGGAATTACAACAAAAACAGAGGCAATTTCTACAGATGCAAAACTGATCTTTCAAGCTATTAGAAGTAGCTGGTGTTATGTCTTTGACAACTGAGTTCAAAAAGTCTATCGGATTCTTTCAGGTGCGACATCATCAGGCTTGTGAACGAGACTCTCTTATCAGAACGTGGAGTTGGTGGATCAGAAAAACATTTTCCATCACGAATTTCACTGCAACTCACTCCAACTTCCCACACAAACATAATGAGTGTCTCAGTAAGCAAATCTTCAAATAACCCTCAAATTGAGGTTGGAACTGAAAGAACCTTTGAAGCTGGATTTGAACCCTCAACGCCTTACCCAGGCCTCAAATTATCAGTTGGGGAGACTGCAATGGTGAGCTTGAAGCCATGGAAATTTGAGCAGTTCGTCCATGGCAATGCTGCAACCCTTAACTGGTACCTTCACGACAGTTCGGATGGGAAAGAGGTGGCCTCCACCAAGCCATCAAAACTTGCACTCATAAACCCTAAAGCTTGGTTTCGGGACCGTTACTCGAGTGCTCACAGACCTTTTAACAAACAGGGAGGGGTCATATTCGCAGGCGATGAGTATGGAGAGAATGTGTGGTGGAAGATTGATGGAAAGGCAAGAGGGAAAACTATGGAGTGGGAGATTAAAGGCTGGATCTGGTTAACATATTGGCCAAACAAACATAAGACATTTTACACCGAAACCAAGAGGCTGGAATTCAAAGAGATTGTCCATCTTTCAATTCCTTAGCTCATAAGAAATCATTGGAAATAGATAGAGACTAATCGTCCGAGGTCTCTTTTCCACTTATTATCTTTCTAAGCAACAAACAAGGCAGGTCTAGATTTTTATACATGCAAATAAAATTAAACTACACATGGGAATTTCTTCGTCAGTAAAAGTTTATGTAGCTTCATTGATAATTGTATCTAGTTAAGTACATTTTTACTTTAAACTTTTTAATTTATCTTTAATTTTTTTTATATCAGAAACAATTTCGTTATTGTTACTATTATTATAAAATACTGAACTTTCAATGAGAAAAATGAAATAACAAGCGTATACAAAAAAGAAGCCTACAAAAAGGGGTTCAAATTAAGCAAGACAAGGTCTATCAAATAGTTACAAAAAAAAGAATCTTCAACTTTGAAATCCAAAAAAAAAAAAAAAAAAATCTAATCAGAGACCACACATCACTAAAAGATCCCCGAAACGATTCCATCAATGATTAAAAAAAGAAAAAAAAAAAAAAACTCTCCAACTGGATAATAGAGAAGAAAAGATGAAAGATTTGAAAGAAGGGGGAACGTTCACACCTAGAAATAGCCAAAAAAATTATAGCTTAGAGAAAACGAACGCAGGTAAGCTCCCTATCTCTAAAAATTTTGTAATTTATTTCTTGCCTAGTGGGAAATAGAAAGCCTTGATGACGTGGAGCTCTAAAAGCTTTCAATTTCACCCAATGGAATATCAAACTCCAACAAGTGATAAAATTACTATGCTTTCATAACTAATTTAGAAGATTGCTCCATCACACCAAACACAACAACAAATACTTAAAATCAAAAGTAAAAAAATGTCCAAATTCAACCCTGAAAATACCCACTATAACCTATTAATGACTTCCTCTGATATATCTAAGTTCAAGTGGGATCTAAAGACGTATTCTAACAAAAAAGGATTTGCTTTATTTTAATTGATTTTGATAGTCTTTTATTATATCTCAAGAAGTTGTGTTAAATGTTTTTATCGCTTTTATGAGGATTCTTTTTGGTGTTATAGGCTGCAGCCCCTAAATGCCTAATATTATATAGAGAATTGAACTCTTGATCAAAGATTGTTGGGTTTGTGTGAAGAGTTATCCTCAATTAAAAGGTGAAATGTCTATCATCTCTTTTCTATGCAGAACCATCCAATCTTATCGTGTTCTTTACCTTTTCTCTCTTCTTTCTTGATGCCAATGGATCACTTTTCCAGTTGACTTTTCCACGTTCTAGAAACTTTGCTTTACTAAAATTCCATTCATCAAAGAGTCTATATATATAGAAGAAAATAACATCCTTTACCCTTACAGAGAGGAAAAGGAGTTCAATCTTGCTAACTTACTACATGGCTCCTTGTAGCTTTCCTGATGTTTATTCCTGGATACAGAACCTACCACCACTTTCTAAATGGAAAACAACTTCCATTTCTACATCCATATGCTCTTCAAGCTCAAGCAACTCCTCCCTCAATGTTGTTGCAGCCAAAAGCCTTCATTCCGCAACCATTACTTTATCGGTTATTGCAGATTTTAGCCTTCCTATCTCTCTTTGGAGTTCAGAACCCTTAAAGACCAGCACCAAATCCTCAAATTTATTAGATGACCAAGAAAGCATATCCAGTCTCTTGCTTAATTGTATTCGCGATGTTCTTCATTATGGCTCAGACCAGCAAAAGAATTTTAGCTTTGGTTTCCTCAAACTCAACATTACTTTCAACCCAAAAGAAATTTTCAATGTTACATTTCTTAACCTTCTATTCCTCATTTGCATTTATGAAGCTCCGACCGGTCTGCGTTTGGATTGTCTGACAACTCTCAAGTATCATTTAACCAATTTTCAGTCAAGACAGGCATCAAAGATGCTCATGAAACTGTTGGGGTCTAATATAGAGGAGCAATGGATGAGGTCCATAAACCTTGCAATCACCAACTGGATAGTCGAGCTCAAAGCCAACAGCTGCATGCTCAAAACACCCTCACCTTTGTTCTCTTGTTCATTTTCAACACATGGATCGTGGAAAGTTCAACTCTATTGCCCTGTCATTGCAATGGATCGTATTGAGAACTCACGCAATCCTTCGACTAATGAAAGATTGCAACTCTCCCTAAATTATCACCAGCTAGAAGGGGTTCTGCAGTTCAATTACAAGGCTGAGGTTCGAGAAAAGTGGATTAATCTGAGAGTTCACGTTGACAACATAAGGTATGTTGAACTTCGAAGCTAACTTCTGTGCTGCTAAGAACGAATTTTTTCTCTCTCACACACTAGACGTAACGAAAAAGAAGGATAAATTCTTGCAAAATTGATTCCAAACTGATCTCTCAAGCTATCAGAAGTAATCGATGTTAAGGATTCTCACGCATCTTCCACAATTGAGTTTAAACTTCTTCTCTATTGCACTAAAAGTAACGACTAAGACAAAGGAAAATTCTAGGAAAAAAAAACGATTCCAAAACTGATCTATCATGCTGCTAGTAGTAATTAATAGTGAAGATTCTCACGTATCTTTGGCATTGGAGTTCAAAACGTACCTCGAATTCTTACAGGTGCAACATCATCCCGCTCGTGAACGACATGCTCTTGTCCAAACGAGGAGTCGGCGGATCAGAGAAGTATTTTCCATCACGGATCTCCTTGCAGCTCACTCCAACTCTACAAACAAACATAATGAGCGTCTCAGTAAGCAAATCATCAGACAACCCTATAATAGAAGTCGGAACCAAGAAAACCCTAGAAGCCGGATTCGAACCCTCAAACCCTTACCCAGGCCTCAAATTAGCAGTCGGAGAGACAGTAACGGCGAGCTTGAAGCCATGGAAATTCGAGCAGTCCGTCTATGGCAACACCGGAATCCTGAACTGGTACCTCCACGACAGCTCCGATGGCAAAGAGGTGGCCTCGAGGAAGCCATCGAAACTTGCGCTGATAAACCCTAGAGCTTGGTTCCGGGACCGGTACTCGAGCGCTTTCCGGCCATTCAACAGACAGGGAGGCGTCATATTCGCCGGAGATGAGTGCGGAGAGAGTGTTTGGTGGAAGATTGACGGAACGGCGAGAAGGAAAACCTTGGAATGGGAGATCAGAGGTTGGATTTGGTTAACGTATTGGCCAAACAAACACAAGACGTTCTACAATGAAACCAGGAGACTGGAATTCAAGGAGATGCTTCATATTTCAATTCCTTAGCTTTGAAGAAGCAGTAGAAATGGAGGGAAAATTAACAAGTTCGAAACAATTTGTTACTTACCATGTCATGCTCACTTTCCCAAAACCCTTAAATCAATCTATAAGTTGCTATCTATTTTCACATGAATTTAGACCTCTCTAAGATCGGTTGAACAAATGAATGAAACATTTTTTTATAAGTCTCTCTCTAACGCATTTAAAAATTGTGAGGTTAGGGGCGATAAGTAACGAGCTAAAACGAGCAATATCTACTGGAGGTGAGTTTGGGCTGTTACAAATGGTGTCAGAACCAAACATGGATTGGTGTGCCAACGCTAGCCTCCAAGGGTATGGATTGTGAGACCTCATATCAGTTGGAGAGACGAACAAAACATTCCTTATAAGGGTGTGAAATCTCTCCCTTATAGATGCATTTTAAAACCGCGAAACTAACTAAGATACGGGCCAAAGCGTACAATATTTACTAGCAGTGGGCTTAAACTATTATAGCTAAACTCATTGGCTACTCCTCTTAGGGTCGAACTTATCATCTGCGGAGTTCGACTCTTTGCATTAGGGTAGACTCCTCTTCATAAGGTTGAACTCCTCCACTCAGGAGTTGAGCACTTTACATCGAGGTTATACTTCTCTCATGGTTCGTCTCAAGTAGGCCTTATTCTATGTCCAAATTATCTCTAGTTGCTCATAGTTATGCTCGTTTTATAAAATAAAAATTATATCCTATTACAGATAAAAAAAATACATATACATCCACTAGCGAACAATTTTTTTTTTTTTTTTTAATTTGACTACAACAATAATATATTTTCGTTTCTTTCTTTTATATATATATTGTTTTGTCTTTTGTATTTTTTTTTTTATTATGAAATATTTTCAAGAATGGAAAAAATGAAAATGATCTAATTAATATAAATCAAACATGATATCATACTCAAAATTAATTTTCAGAAAATGCACACCTAATAATAAAATATTAAAAAATCTAACCATATGCTAAAATTTATTAACAAAATGTATAAATTTCATTACTTCAAAACCTCACCTGTTATGGGCAATTCTGGTCTGATTTGGATGGTTAAAAATCAACACTGAATTCCGAGTCGTTTCAGCGAATCATAACCATCCACGTGTCTTCCTTCTCTCNCAAAAAAAAAAAAAAAAAAAAAAAAAAAAAAAAAAAAAAAAAAAAAAAAGTCGTAAAGGTCTTGCGTGAGTGTTAAGAATTTTTCAGTCCAATTTATCAAACCATTTCATTACCTTAGATTCGCCATTGTTTAAGGCAGCAAAAAATGGGGAACGCTCTCAGGTTCCTCTGCAGTCACTTCTGCAATCCTAACGCTGCCGCCGACGCCGATTCCCTCGGTCCTCATGGCGTCTCCCCGGCCACCGTCGGCGTCTCGGCTCTTGCTCACGATCTCTTTGATTTTGAGATCACCTCGCAGGTATGTTCTCAATCTGAAGCTCATATCGAGCTGCATTTCTGGTTGATTGAATTTTGAATCGGATTCTGTCTGGTGATCTAGTGAAGTTTGTTGTTCAAACAATCTATGCTTTGGTATTGATGATTTTAATTTGATGAATTTTTGAAAGGTTCCTCAAGGACTTAGTAAGCATGTGGTTTCGTCGAAGAAGGCACAGACGAATTGGTAAAGTATTTCTGATTGTTTGGTTACGGAGTGGAGATTTATGAAAGTAATTGTAGTTACAGAGTGGTGAGATTCTGATTGTTTGTGAGATCTGTGTGTGTGGGAAGGTATAGAAAACTGGCTGAAGCTTGGAGGTCGGAGAAACCACCTCCTAAAACGCCTGAAGAAGCATCCAGGCTTGTGATTCAGACACTCAAGAGACACCAGAAGAAAGATGTTGAGGTACAAATAGGAATTCTCTTGCTTGTTTTGTTGGATTGGTAAACTGGGAATTTCTGCAGGTTAAATAGATCAATTGATAAGAGTCAAAGTTCATTCTGTCAAATATGAGCAGCTCTGATGATAATAAGGAAATGCGTTGTTTTTTCCATTTCGAATTCAAATTTTTAGGAGAGAGAAATCGGATCCATGGGGACTTAGCTAGATGGCTTGTGTAGAACAATCCAAAATCCAGTGGGGTTGGATCTGATGAACCGAAATGGAAAACAGATTACTTTTTGAAAAGTGTCAAATTACTTTTTGAAAATAGTGTTTTCAAGAACGTTTATGTTTTTAAAAAATAGTTAAATGCTTCCTTTAAAAGCATTTAAGTACTTTCTGTTCATTTTTTAAACTTCTCAACTACTTCTGTTCTTGCAAAATCTATACATATGCCTTTAATTAAAATAATTAAATTGAACTAAAGCTAGAAGTTATGGAAGAAAATAAAAAGAATACAACAACAATTTTAGCCCTCCATAAGCATTTTAAAAGGCATGTCAAACACACTGAATCAAGTTCTGTGTTTTATTTCTGTTGTTCAACAGGGATTATTGGCTTTCTATGGTCTCCCTCTTCCTCATACTCTTGTCGAACTTTCTGCTCCGGCCCCATTGCCTACATCGCTACCAGATGGAGTCAAGTTTGAGCTGCAGACATTGCCAGTAAGTGAGAAGGATGCTTTTATGGGAAATGACCAACCATTTTGTTCACAACAGGTGTTCTCATTTCTCAATGTTGAATTCATATCAGGTCGATGCAAAAGCTGTAGCAGATGGTGATACAGTGACAGTGTATGTGAGTACAGCACACCCTAGAGAGTCCTCTTGTATTCCAATGGAGGTTAGGAACGCAGCTATTCAAAGATCACAAGCTAGAAACGCCAAGAACTATGCAAAGGCTGATGCACTTCACAAGACAATAACTGATGCTGGTTACAGGTAAATTATATCTCTGCTCTACTGCATACATACACTTGGACTTTTTCAGTAAGTTACTGGGATTTGATGCCTGTTTCTTCTCCCTCAAAAGGGTGCTTACTGTTCAGAATGAGGAGATTCTTGCAAGAAAATACAGGATTCGTCTCAGGTAATTAAAATTAGCACCGGGTGATTTGATTCTTGAACTTTTAGTTTTTTTTTTTTTTTTTTTT